CTAGACACTCTTCAGATGGGCTGAAATTAGAACTCAGATTTCTGAACCAGCCCTAGTAGGCAGTTGCCTTGCAGCATGTTGAAAGAGCCACCATCAAAAAGCGAAACTGCTCTATTTGTTCCCTTCAGTGTGCCAGGCATTACCTATGTTTATTTTTGGGTTTGATTTCTTTACACACGTCTTTGAATAGCATTAATAATCCAAGAAGTGTGTCACTTTTACTCATCTATCAAAGGCCCAATCATCTCCTGGGCAAAAATGCTGTCAGTTCTTATTGTGTTGAAGCTAGTGACACCAAGAGAAAATGCTAGCTGCTGTTTTTGTTTATTGAAGTTCAGAAATTCCTAAGGGGAAGTAAACAGCAATGTCTTCTTTCTCAGAGCATAAAGGTCCTTAAAATAACCCTCAATACCCAAAGGAAACCCAGTGTACTTTCTATTCCCTTTCTATTCCCATTCCACTTGAAAAGAGATATAGGCAAATTTACTGCCAAACATTTTTCATCCTAAAACACTTTTTTTAAAAAAGTAATGACAACAACAACAACAACAACAATAATAATAATAGTAATAATAATACATAACATCCCAAACTTAATCATTGTCAATAGGAAAGACAAAAAAGTCTGGATAGTGAATGTGGCAGAGCCTGGAGAAAGCAGAATAAAAGAAAAAGAACTGGAAAAAATGCAAAGACCTGCAAAGACCTGCAAATGGAAGTAGAAAGTCTGTGGCAAAAGAAAGGAAATGCAGTATCAACAGTGATACAGTAAGCGCCATGGGTGAAATCCAAAACATGTGAAGCGTCACTGGAACCCCATTGGAATTGACAGTCACCATCAGTCAATTGCAAAAGGCAGCTTTACTTGGAACAGGACAGGTACAAACTCCAACAAATAGGTCTGCAGAAAAAACAAAAGCAACCAGCCTGCCTTCCATAGAAGACTTGTATATTGCATGGGACAGAAGGAGGGCTGAGAAAATATCTACAGACCTCTCACATCCTGGACATAAAGTATTTCAACTCCTTCCCTCAGCACATCCTTATAGAATATAGTACATTGCATGCCAAAACAACTTTACACAGGAACAGTTTTTTCCCCTCGTACCTGAACACCTAATTCTCACAGTACTATCTTATGTCTAAGTATATTTATAAGTATATGTTGTATGGCTTAGTATTATTATCCTTCTCATCTTCTTTACTAACCCCTCTTATTGGCATCATTATTATGATTATTGTTACTTTTTGCTTTACATGTACACTGAGAACTCCACACCAGAAACAAATTCCCTATGCGTCTTAATCACACTTGGAAAGTATTCTATTCTATTCTATTCTATTCTATTCTATTCTATTCTATTCTATTCTATTCTATACAGCTTACAACCTGAAACGAAACCTTTAACACCATCAAACAACATTTGACTATCCCATGTCATTAAGAACGACTTAATATGTGGATAAAATTGCCAAATCTAGTTTAAACATCTGGCTGACATGCAACAAACCATAATAATGGTCATTATTACCCAGCTACTGTACTACAAACCATGTAGCAAAGTCTTCACACTGGCATCAAACCAATGATGTGAAATATTAGTAGAACTGGCTCATGTATTACAGTTGTTCAATCTTTATATTTAAGACTGATAAAAAGTACCCGCATTAGTCCATTTGACGCCAAAAAAGCAAAGTAACCTTAAAAAGTAAAAACATCTATTGTATGATACGATGAAAACTGTATTTTATGCCATATTAAACAGGTATCCTAAAGACTTTCTGTTTGTATAAGCAATCCTGTTATGACAGCTAGTGAACTGGCCTGTCTTAGATTGGCTGAAACTTGACAAAAGTCTTGCTATTCTAGTGGCTTTGTATATGGGACATAGAGAAACAGAGACAACACAACAAAAGGTCCCAAGCTGTCATGCATTCGCATGAAGGGGAAAGAATCCAAATATTTGTTTCTGCTAATTGTAAATATCTGATAATTAGAAGATGAAACTACAAAAAGAAAGAAATGAATATGTAAATTCAAGAACACTAACTTGCAAAACAAAATTATTTTTTGTTTTGATATCTGATTAGCTCATAACTTAGCTAAAAATAAGTTTGTTTGTCCAATAATCACTTGCCCAATATCAGATGGCCTGGGGAACCCAGAATGGGATGGAGCCCATCAAGTGGCTCATTTGACTATGGGTGGTCACCAGGGGATGGGGGGGGTATTGTTTTTTATTTTTTATACTGGGTTTTTACTGTTTGTAAGCCGCCCAGTGTCACTGTGCGTGAATGGATGGCCATATAAATCTTCCAAATAAATAAATAGGAAGAGATGGAAAATACACAAGGTTAGGTTTTTGAATTAGGTTTTAGAGCAGGGCAGTTGTGCAGGGAACAGGATTGAGCAGCACTTTCCCAGCTGATTTCTGTTTCTGTTATTAAAATTATAACATTAACAGATGTCATCAAAGGTCTCTCGTGTCACATCTGCTTCCAGAAGAATAATGAATTTCTAAACAAAAACAAAAACAAACATAAAAATCCAATACATGATTTTTTTAAAACTCTAGTTTTCAGCAGTTTTCGACCCTAGGGGAACTCAGTTGTTCTGTCAAAACATCTCAAGTAAAATTTCAAAACTATCAGCATTCTTTCATTTTACTTTAGGAGGGAGGGAAATTAAAAAATTAAGACTGGGGCTTAAAAGATTATTGTTTTCATTTCAAAGTGGCTTAAGCTATCTACTGTATATCTTGGAAATACTGGAGCATAAAGTGCTTCTAAAATCTGAGTCTGAGCAATTTGCAGACTGATTTTTGAATTCATTGGAGAAGACATCTCTCTGCACTCATGGATGATTTAGCCTACAATTAAGTAGGTTGCTCTCTGTTCCGTATACTTTTGCATGGAAAAAGCACTACAATTGATGTCTGTGGAGGTTCTCAGTCATTCGAGTCTAATTTATGGGAGTTCTGCCTGGAATTGCCATGCCTGGAATATATAAAATGCCGGGACAGAAAATCTTTCTGTGATCTAATTTTGCTTAAGGAGCAAAATAAAATTAATTTCTCCCTGAATATGTTCATCGTTATGCTCAGTAATATCAGACATGATGCCACAGTATATTAAGGTTCCCTGATCATCCCTTCTTTGTGACAAAGGTTAAGTTGAGGGGTCCTTGGTGCTCTCTGAGCGTGGTTGTTTTCTTGCAGATATTTCATTACCCAAACTAGGTAACTACATCAGCACTGATGATGTTACCTAGTCTGGATAATGAAACATCTGCAAGAAAACAAACACACTCAGAGAGCACCAACAACCCCTCATTGCAACCTTGAGCTACAAATATTCTTCTTTATGGAAGATTAAGTTGTATTGACTAACAAGCTTCCACCTTACAATACGTGGCTGAACAAATGCAACTTGTGTACTACACAAGACATGATTCACTAAACAGTTAAGCAGCTGAAAGAAATTTCTTTTAACAAAGTGCACATAAAAAGTTCATTATCACAACTAAGAAATGGAATCTAAATGTTAGACGGGTGGGGGTGGGATACAGAATGATTTGTTTCAGGCAATCTTTTAACACTGTGTGTCTATATATTCATGAAGGATATGCAGCTTCTGGTTTGGGTTGAACATAATGGAATGGAATGATTTTTTAAAAAAAAATCTGCACGGCATATTGATTTAATAGTTATGAGACAGCTCACCTTCAGTAGAATGTAGGTTCTTAAATAGCAAGAACAGAAAGGCAGAAAATACTAGAACAGCAAGAATTACAATCTTGCTTAAAGACTGACTTTTTTTTCAGCAGCAGTTTTAGAAAGCTAATTGGAACTAGCAGAACAAAAGGCATAACTGAATTGTACCTATGATAGATTGTTTAAAAAATCAGCAAGTTCTGTTACAATAAGTTGACCTGGATTTATGGATAAAAAACTAAAATTTCCTTTGAGTTGAATCAATTCGTGATTTTATGGAACATCCATGTTGTTAATCTACCCTACCAGATCCAACTTTGTTTCATTTTTGAGAGTAGCCAAAGGCACTTAGAATTGAATACAAATGCCCTTGTATTCTGATATTAGAGGAAAAATAGCTAACCCATTTCATTACAACTATGAAATGCTGGTCAACTAAGAAAAATCAGTATGAAATGAATGAAGGCAAATATATGTGTCCCAGGATAATGTTGTAGGATTGGTCTGGATTGATCACTGGGACCAGAAGTTTAGTCTTCTGAGCCTTCAGACTTGTGCTGGAGATGCATCCTCAGGGAACTGGAAGATGGGCTCTAGCACAAGTCCAAAAGCTGAGAAAACTAACTCTCTGGTTCAGGTGACTAACACAGATTGGATTCTGCATCAGTATACAATGTTAACAAATTATGATGTGTTACTGTTGTACACTGGACAGTGCGTGCATACCTCTCTATGCTATGAACTGCATTGTTTGCCAGTTTGCTTCCAGTTCAAGGTGCTGCTTTTGATCTTTAAAGCCCTTTAAAGGGAACCTGGGGAAACACCTCTCCCCAGTTTTACCAGCCCTCGCCATTAGATCTGGCAGAGAAGGCATGCAACGTATACCATCAGTCAGGGACTTGCCTTTGGTGGGTTCCAGGAGATGTTCCTTCTCTGCCATGGCATTGAGTTATGAAATATTCTCCCCCCACCCTCCTCCCTGAAAGTAAATTAACGCCATCCTTTTTAACACTCCAGAAGGCCCTGAAGACCTGGTTATGTTATCATGCCTGGGACTCCCAGGCAGCTGAAGACTACTGTAGCTCAGATGCTCCATTGCTGATTCTTATTATCTTTTTGCATAGGGTTTGTATCTGTATTTTTTATATTTGTTGTTTTTATATGTGATTTTATCTGTTTGTTGTGTACCAGCCAAAGTCATCTTTGGTGAGATGGATGGCCATATACATTTGATTAATAAATAAATAATAAAATAAATAAATACTTTGAATGCACAGTGTGCTCAACTAACTGCTTCTTTCCTCCAAATCATTCAGAAGTTCATTTTGGGCTTTGAAAGGTCTAACATTTTGGCTAACAAACACATCATTCTCAAAACACAGAAGATTTTTTTTACATCTTATTAAAATAATAAATGCTCAGTTTATCCTAAAATTGGATTGTTTCATCCAATAAAAATGTCAAGCATCTTTAGCAGTTGTTAAGAGCAATTGAGTTTGAAAATCTTGTCTGAAAAGGAAAAGAATCTCAAAGATAATCCCAAGGAATGATTCTCCATGCTGATTAGCATATCTAATGCCTATTATGTAACAAGATTGCAGGAAGAAACAAGAACAGGAAATATACCTATAGATCAAACAGCTCAAGTGATTCAACCCAATAATTTCATCTTGAAAGTAATATAAACTGCTATTTCCATGTTAATATGAGAAGCAACACTGTAATGCTTCATTGGAAGATAAATACTAATTAGAACTTTCATGAGCAAATGCTACCTTCAGTTTGAAATAACTAGGTGGTCTTCACAATCCAGCAGTTATAAAATGAAAACAAAGCAACAAAGCCTTGAAGATCAAGAAGACAACCGGTAAAGCACTTTGTTGATTAGAGCTATAGTCATAAAAGCACTCACCTAAAACACACAGTGTGTAAGCCTTTTGTCTTAATGAACTTCTGCTATTGTGATTTGTACTCCTGGCTTATAATTTAATAAGCTGTGTAATGCAGTCAATTGTGGTTTATACAGCCAGTCATGGATATGCAAAGTACTGATTCATACATCCACTACTTCAGTCACTAAAAAGGAATTTAAATAAATTACATGTCAGGTGACTTTAGATGGCCTTTTACCTTGGCTATTAACAAAAATGATTAAGGGATCGTCATTTATTTGTTAACTTGATTTACAACCATTAATTTACGGATAACAGCTCTACTTGTGACTGTTGCTGCATCCCCAGAGTCATGTGACCAAAAAACTTTGGACAGTTGACAATTGGCAAGTATTTACAACAGTTACAGTGTCCGGGGGTCATGTGATTGCTATTTGCAACCTTTCCCAGTCACTTCTGATAAGCAAAATCAATGGTGATACCTGGAGTTGCTTAACGACTGCTTGATTCATTTAACAACTGTGGCAAAAAGGTCCAAAAATTGGGTGCAATTCACAAAACAACTGCCTTGTTTAGTAACAGAAATGCTGACTTCAATTGTGGTTGAGGACTGCCTGTATAGTGTGTAACACCACAAGTGATCTTTCCATAAATACCTAGATAACATAGATGAGCATTGAGTGCTAAGTATTCTATTAAAAAACTGCTGGGGAGCAAAAGTCTGGAAAGCCAGACAATTAGTACTCCATGGACAGCTACAATTCATTACTTTAGCAGGGAAATCAACATAAAGGGGAAAGCAAGAAAGGTAACTTTGAAGACATATAGTTTCTTTTTATTACTTTGCATCTAATTTTTTTTCAGACCAATTTTCTTTTCTGCTTATAACATAGAAAGATATATTTTAGCAAATGATGATATTTTGTAGATTATTATAACCACCAAAGTTTATTATCTTGCATATTTAAATCCTTATTCCCATGTTATGTTCTTGCACCAATTTTATTTTAAGAAATCTTTAAAAATTAATATACTATTAATAAAAAATCAGCCATGATGTGAGTGATTTTTTTATATTTAATTTGCCACTAGAAAAGGAATGCAATGCTTCTTGGTTAACAGCCAGGGTCTGAAAATAATCAGGGCTGCTTCAGATGGAGCAGAAATTCTTTTTGTAATTATTTTTGCTCTTCACAAGTACATCTCATTTGCTCTAATCCATGGCCAGTAATCTTGGATATAGACAAGAAAGCATCCTGTGTATGTAATTCATATATTTGTATCCCAAATTTCTTTTTCCAAGAAATAAGAGCTTGTATTTTACAGTATCTCAGTGGACCAACAGACAATAGGGAAAAGCTATGGAGACCTATATTTTTTATTTTAATGATGTGTAAGGAAATAAGATTTTAGGCTGACTTGTGATGTCCCTGTAGCGACAGAGAAGAATGTTTATAGTCAAATAGTTTATCAATTGTAGCATTCACCCTGTCAATGTAGAATGCAATCTGCAGCTATAATAGCAGAATAAAGGGAATACGATAGGGGATAAAGGTGGTATCTTAAATGATAATAATGGTACTATACTTGAATTACAAAGGGAAGTATCCCAGTTTTACTGAAATATCAAAAATTAGCATTCCTTTAGAATTGCGAAGGTGAAAGATGTGTGGGGCCTTGGGGGACCCCATTTAAATAAAACACTGACATACAACAACAAACCCTACAAAACATTCATTCCAGAAATGTTGGGCTTATCCTCAAGTTCTCCTACTTATGGCATGAAAATAACTTATTACCTTAAAAAAAATCTGCCTTACATGGAGTCCTTCCCTTGGACCTGAGATAGACAGATTTGGATGTTAGTGCTGCAGGATGTAAGCTGTTCCAAGTAAAACTGCCTTTTGTAATTAACTGATAGTGATTTTGTCAATGCCAATAATATTCAAGTGGTGCTTCAGTTGTTTTGGGATTGCACCCAAGGCACTTATTACTATTGATACTGTACTAGCTTTGATTTTTTTTTTTTGCCACAGTTGTTCTATTTTTATTTGCAGGTCTTTGTAATTTGTTATCTTCTTTGGTTCCTTTCCTTCCACTCTGCCGTCTCCAGGTACTGCCATATCCAGTATCCAGACTTTTTTGCCTTTCTTAGCAATTGTAATTAATTCTGGGGTGTTATGTGGCAGGTCCCTGTCGGTTTAAATTCTAAAATCCCAGAGCAATTTAGCTTCTTCATTTTGTATTACTTTCTCAATCGTATGATGCCACCAGTTTTTTGCTTGCAGGCAGATAGTATTTTTTGCAGATCTTCATGCAGAAATTGGGGTTGGGGGGGTAGCATATCAAAAAGGTTACCATGCAGACATATGAGATCTAAGTTTGTCTCTCTATCAGACAATTCAAAAGTTCAGAAAATTTAAAAAAAAGAATCAGACTGACATTCCCAGTATAATGTGCAAACAACAGTCAGGCACATACAAATCTCAGTAAACTTTCTCTACTCTGACTCACTGGAGATTTTCTGGCTCTAGGGCCAACAACCCCCAGTTCTGAGTAGTCCATGCTTCTCTTTCAACAGGATTCTTACATAAGAGTTTCCTGCTATCTTTTATCAAATGATAATTTTATAGCCTTGTTCTATTTGTAGTTTTATTCTTGGTTAATGCTGGTTTTGCATGTAGCTTCTTCCCTCCAAGTATTTAAATGATTGCATGTTTTAAACAAAGAAAAATAAATTAAACAAAGCAGGAAGCAAAAAAATAATGTATGAAGAAGGTTACTTATTCTATTAAGGAACTTGTATGTGGGCTGAGATTGATAAAGAATGCTTAAACTAATAGATCTCTGGGAGTTAGTAACTGCATAAAGATTATACGAGCCCTCTTCCAAATATGATTTACAATATTATTCATTTTTACAAAATTAGGTTTTTTTAAAAGGATAGCTGAAAAGACTAATTCATTGTACTATATAAGCTCTTTATTGTAAACATGGGCAATCTATTTCTGTTAGGACTGTTTTAGCATGTCTGTTAGGAAGAGGCAGCTGAACAATTATGAGACTGAATTCAGTACTCAAGATAAGCCTTTGATATGTGGTAGAAAGCTAGGGCTTATATCTTACCTCTGTTCCCCTTAACTTGCATTGAATAGCTAACAATTCTGTATTGTCACTTTGCCTTTAAGGTGAAAACTTCTATTGGGAAGATAGCATATTACAGATAAATGGCTGGCTGACAAATTCTGGGAGCTGAAATCCACAAGTCTTAAAACTGCCACACTTGGAGACCACTGCGCTAAGCTAAGTCTACCAAATTTGAGTTCCAAAAACACATACCACTACTAATTGGCACCTGTCACTCTCTGTCGTCACCTAGTTATTGGCAAGATTTTTGCAACCCGGATCTGGTAGTCATACTCTAAGCAAGATACTTAGCTCTTTTTCTCATGTCTGCCTCCCTAAAAGTCTTAGGGAATGAACAAAGAAAAACAAACAAGAAATTCACCAAATTTCACAGGACTTTCTTTTTTGCTCTTATTTCTTTTCCCCATCAATTCAAAAAGGGTTATATTGTCATCTTACCAAATAACCCAATTACAAATAAAATATTATAATGTTTAATTAACAAAGGTTCTGTTAAGAAGAAGAAAAACAAGGTTAAAATATAGTACCTCCCATATACTTCTAAAACTCTAGGCAGAAATAGTTATATAACTATTGCAGAGACAATGATCCTGCTAAATATAATCAGTGGCATATTTGTAGTGGCTCAAACCACTTTTTCAAACATGTAGGCAATGATAGGACTTGGACTAAAACTAATCATTTCCTAGGAGCCAACAAATAATTTCCTTGACTCTGTTAAAAAAACAAATGAAATGAACGTTTCTCATGGAACTAGGAAAAAAACTATGTGGGTATGAAAAGGCCAAAATTACAATAGGATTGCAATAATCAGCCAGAACATTTAAAGGATTAAAGAGCTAAAAAGGGGAAAATGGGTCCCTATTTGTCAGGAGGAACATACAGTAAGACATTTCCTATGACATTTTCATTGGTATGTATGATTGGTGAGCTGGTTCTTCATGGAATCACAGATAGTTTTACAGTTTAGTCACTTAGTCACTTAGATGAGTTATAAAGAAAATGTTCATGTATCAGAAAAAGCCTTTTTGCATACAAATAATACAACTGTGTAGATACTTTGTCAAAGAAAAAGACATCAAGAGTGTGATTTCAGGTACCACCATGCCTTCAAGCAATTACAACTTTATGCAATATGGAATGAAGGTTTTAAAACTGCCAGATATTTACAATTGGTCTGAAGAGAAAGAAGTTTGCTATCTTGTCTAGAATTATCCTTATCCAAAGTAACATCCAAATCTAGAAAATATGACT